TAATTAAGGTTAAATGAGGTCATAAGAGTGGGACCCTGGATGGGATTAGTGTCCTTTTAAGAAGAGAGACCAGAGAGCGCTCTCTGTCTGTCTCTGTCTCTGTGTCTGTCTGTCTCTCTCTCTGGTGCACACACCATACTGGGAAGCACCATGTGAGGGCACAAGGAAAGGCGGCAGACTACAAGACAACGAGAGAGTCCTCACCAGGAACTCACCCTGCTGGACCTTGATCTGGGATTCCCAGCCTCCAAAACTGTGAGAAATAAATGTCTGTTGTTTAGGCGCCCGGTTCCTGGTATTTTGTTACCGCAGCCCAAGCTGACTAATGCATGTGTAAATGTGTGAAAAGTCATCAGGCTGCACACTTCAGATTAGTGTATTTTACTGTCATGGATCATTTCTTTTTCAAGAAAAGGAGTGGGGAGTAAAGAAAGGAAGAATTGTATTCCTAATGGGGTCTTCTAGTGTATTTTTTTATATAGAGCCAAGCCGAATCATTCCTCATTACCCATCTGCCACTCCGCCAGGAATTCCACTACCGTGGACTGGTTTATTGCTCTTCCATGGGCTTGTGTCCCTCCTCATCAATGTCATAACTCCCCTGCCCTTATCCCTGTGGGCCGCTGGGACACTGCCGCTACAGGCATGCCAGATATTTGATGGAAAGTTCTATTTTCCCACCAACCTCAGCGATTCCCTCTTCATCCCACCTTTTCACAGCCACTCCTGACCCAAACCAAACAAACGAGGTCATTCCTGTTTTATTCAGTCACTGAGCAAATAGGCCTCGCGGGCCCACTGTGCGCAGGGCACAGTGCTAGGAGAGCGGCCAGCTCAGTAGCCAGCGTGAAAACCGCAGGCTGTAAACTTGGCAAACAGTTCTCTGAGAACCAGCACATATTTGCCTGATGAGCAATGAAGGTGAATGAGTAAAGGGATAAATGATACACCGATGACATCAGGATGTGTAAGGAGAAAGAGGGGTTATAAAATAAAGACTTGACACGGTTCCTCCTGGGAGGGAAAATGCAGAAACTAGGTCTCGCCTGAATTCCTGTTTTCTAGAGTGTGATCTGCTGCATATTTTCAGAGAAAAAATGAAAGTAAGATCACTTGGCAGACCCTACTATTGCCCCGCCAAAAGCTATTCCTGCTTCTGACTTCTTCAGGTAGTCCACAGAGGAGATGTGCAAAGTCAGTTGGGGCAATTTCATTGGTTGAAGTCAATTAGGGCAAGCTCATTGGTTGAAGCTCATTGTCTGTGAGCGGTCTAGTTCTGGCCAATGAACAAAGGAGAAAGTAGTCCAGGAGTGAGAAAGATGAGAGCCCTTTCTATGATTCCCTTCTGCTTGGGAAGATGAGATGCCTGGTGCTTTGCAGCCATCTCGGGACCATGAGGAGAGGATAGTACAGCAGGAAGACAGAAAGAGCATGAGTCCTGGTTGATATTCCTGAGCTATTAAGCTAACCTGGAAGTACCAACCTCTAGACTCCTTGTTATGTGAAATAATAAGGAGACCTCACTGTTTAAGCCAATTTTAGTTGGGTCCTGTGCAGTAGGCAAACACATCTTAACTCATACAACCATGTCAACTTGTTCTTACTTTGGAGAGTAATTGCAGACGAGGTAGACGGCATTCTCCCAAACATCTCCCCAGACGTTCATCCTCTGGCAGGTGTTCACAGCACAGCCAACCTTACTGGTGGTGGCCCAAACTATCTGAAAGGACGACATCCATGCATCAGAATTTAAGGGATAAAGCATACCAGGATGACATAATCTGGCCTGGATCTATAGGGTGCTGGTACTAAAGGGGTATGTGGTGAAGATTTCCCCGCTAACCCACTGAAGATCTATACATTCGTTTAAAATAAATAAAACAAAACAAAAACCAAACAAACAAATCACACACAAGGAGAATGCCCAGCATGTAAAAGTGCCATAGAAGTTTCTAGTGCTTCCTCTCAATTTCTGAACTTGTGAACTGGTCACAAACTGTTCAGTCCCCCCGCTATACCTCGAGTAGCACAGAATTAAAGAAAAAAAAATAAGGCAGTGACAGCAGAGGTTTTCCAACTGCGCGACAATTCTGCAGGGCCAGGTGAGTGACTGGATTTGGGCGCTAGGCTGAGGTCATGGCCTGTTCCTCCAGTTTTACCTGTGTGTAGTGGGTACACATGGCCCCGGAGCACCTCTCCGGACACCAGGGGTTGCACTCGTGGGGATAGGGGTAGGTATAGTCCTTCACTTCGTCGTACCAAGACTGCACATGGAACCCAGGAGAGCGATACCTGCAGAGACAGATCAGCTTGTTATGTCCTGGCCACTACACACCGAATGGCAGAGACCACAGCTAGCAGCACCGCCACCCGCGGGCAGGCTGAAGGAGGGGCTCCTTCGGGGCCAATAGCTCCAAATCCCAGAGCCTGTTAAAAGTTCTTAAAATCCAAATCAGCGAGGAGCTCACCTGGGTGTCCCCGGAGTCCCTCTAGATTCCAGGAGTGTCTTTCAGGTGGCCCACATACCACCAGTGTGTGCAGGAAACTTTCACTTGGCCCCCAGTGAATCATTTTTTATGTTAATGATCATGTATTTATTTTCATGTACATTTGGGAAAATACATACAGCCCATGAATCCCATGTTTCAGAGGTATTATTGCTTAAGATGAAATTTAATTTAAGATATGAATACATTTAAAGTCAATGTAGAGAAAAATATTTAGTAAATAATTGAACAAGTGATGGACAGATGGGACACCCACCGTGGCAGGGGAGGGTCTGGAAGTTGGCAAGTAGCTGGCTATGGGGGACCAGGCAGAAAAGATCCCCATCATTGTCATGACCAGCTTTGTTCATCAGCTGCTGGGGGCCCCAAGGATTCAAAAACAAAGCAGGAAACTCATTCGGGGCATAGAAACCCGCAGGTATGCAGACCTCTGCGGTCAGGTGTGCAAACCTTTTTGAAAACTTCCTATTTAGGATTTCTTACTGAACCTCTCTCGCCCCGGCCATGACGGGGACCTGGGGTCATCGTCGTTGGTGGCCACTGCCCCTTGCTTCAGCCCCGTCCGCCAGGCTGGCACCAGTTATTTTTTACCAGGAAAGAAAATAAACTGGATGCGAATCCCCGGTCACCATCACCAGCAAGTGTAAACAAAGCGGTTTCAATCAGGAGAAAGGTGGCGAGGGCGACTGGCCATTTCTAAGAGCGTTGTGGTGAGCTGGGCAGTTAGAGGTCTTGTAACAATTACTGTCAGAAACCAGAGCGAATGGTGGCGGTCAGTGACATGGCCCGAGAAACGGCCTGTTTCCCTGGGGCCAGCTTGGGGAAAGAAACACACAGAGCCTCCGAGCTCCAGAGGGAAAGGACACCCTCTGCCCTGTCCACTTCTCCAGAGCCTCAGGCCAGGCGGGTGCCCAGGGGCCTCACAAATGAGGGACTCTGGGAAAGCAAGTTAGTAGTATCTACACAGAAGGGGGAAAACCTCTGTGCCCTTTGACCTATCTATCCTACTCTTCAGAGTTATCCTAATGAAATAATTCAAATAAGTCAACAACGACATAAAAAGCAAGCTACAAGAACGGAATGGCTAAATTTTGGCCTGTCAACTTGATAGCCTGTGGGCAGCCTTTACTCGATGACAACCATGACAGCTATGTAATAGCGAAATTGATATTGTATGAGAAGGAAAAAAAGAGAGAGAATTAAAAGCTGTTTGGGCCACAGTTACAACTACCTAAACATATGCCGACCTACCGTCAAACGCTACACAGAAGCCCAGAAAATGAAAGGACCTGAACCGAGGCAGTAAAATGATATTTTTTCCCCTCTTTAGACACTTTCTTTCTTTCTTTTTATTATTTATTCATTCATTTTTATTTATTTATTTGTTTGTTTGTTTGTTTATTTTAACACCTACAGTATCTGGGCTTCCTAGGTGGTCTCCCATCCAAGTACTAACGAGGCCTGACCCTGCTTAGCTTCCGAGATCAGATGGGATCGGGCTTGTTCAGGGTGGCATGGCCGTAGACTAGACATTTTCTTTTAATGCTATCGTTAAGACTGATTTTATAAAAAGCAGAATTCGCCAGAGGGAAAAATACCACGCTGACCTGCTTCCACGAAGCCACGTCTCTGGGTCCGTCATGGTGCCTGCCCAGGCACAGCCCTAAAGGAAAGTGTTGCCGCTCGCGGCCAAATTAAACTCCAGAGCTTGAAGAGCTGGGAAATATCTGGGTTAAAGTCATGCAAGCCCTGACCCGTATTTTGAGGGAGTATTTCAAATTCAGTCCAATTTTTCAATGAATAGAGCAAAATCAAAGTGAACCATGAGAGCCTGGCCACCAGACTCAGGGGACATGTGGGCACAGCGCGTTGAGTGTTGATCAGTAAGACTTAATTGGCCAAAAGACATTTTCTCCACTTCCTCTAATGAAACTAGCCTCAGCCTGGAGGGGACTTTCGGCCAGGCTGGGTGAACAGGTATGTGGCCCCGTTGACTTTGGGGAAGACCAGGGGATGACATTTAACTGATCACTGTCAAGTGCTGTGGGCAAGGGGACAAAGGTGCTGCCAGGCCAGGAGGCTTCAGAGGTTCAGAGGTTCAGAGGTTCAGAGGTTCAGAGGTGTGAATGGGCTCCATGTGGGCACAGCGCGTTGAGTGTTGATCAGTAAGCCTTAATGAAACTAGCCCCAGCCTGGAGGGGACTTTCCGCCAGGAGGCTTCAGAGGTTCAGTGGTTCAGAGGTGTGAATGGGCCTTCCCCATGGCCTGACGAGGAAGAGAAGTGAGCGATACCTGCCCTTGAGGTGGAACCTGGGTGGGCCTTAAAAAATGAGTAGAATCCAGACACACCAGGGCAGGGAAGACAGTACTGACCCGCCACTGAAGGAGCGAACGTCCCCATCTTCCCAGCTTGCCCAGCCAGCTCCTTCATGGCTCAAGAACCCTTTCAAGCAGATAGAATGGAAAACCCATGCTCCAGAAACCCCGAGGCCGACGATCAGTGTCTGGAGTCAGCAACCAGGCTCACATCCGTTTTTGCCAGCTACTTGAAAGTACTGCGGGGTGCTGAGCCTCAGTTTCTCCATATGTAAATGATATGGGTTGGTGGTTTCTCCCTCTTAGCAGGTGACCGCAAAGGCTAAAAGCTATCATGGACAGTAAGCACCGAGCTAGGTACACAGTAGGTGCTCAGCCATGGTGGCCAGTTCACAAGTAAGAAGGTGGGGGAACTCTGTGGCTCTTACCTGCCCCAGTGGACGGCCAGATTCTGCCCAATGGACACCAGCAGACTGGTGGGCCCGTGCTCCCAGATGCACTCGTGAGCCCACGCGGCCGCCGACTTCGCCAGCTCTTCATCCCAGGTCTGCAGGGTAAGGAGAAACATGCATCTTCAGCGTCAGGAGTGGGCATAAGAACCAGAAATGAATAACATCCCAGCTGAACCCGCTGGCCAGTTTCAGCTTCTGTAACACTGGGTTCTGAGCATATTTCGGTTGGGTTCCTCACTCAGCTAGTGGGAAGTGGCAGATCAGCAAAGAACTCAGAGGAGGCTGGACCCAAGGCTGTCCTCAGAGCTCCTGCTCTACCTCTAACTTGCCAGTGACCTTGAGTAAGTTCCTTCTCCTCTCAGCCTGAGTCTTCTCATCTGTGAAATGGGAAGATGAATAAGCCCTGGATATAGATGGTGCTGGTGACTGTATACAGTGTTAAAGTACTTAATGCCACTGAACCGTACATTTAAAAATGATTACGATGGTAAATTTTATATTATGTATATTTTACCATTGCGTTGAAAAAAGTAGCAAGAAAATAGTAGCAAGCCTTCAGCTTGCCCAGTCCCTCTCAACCTCCAGCATGGCCCACCTTGAATCAGCGGGGCTCAGGGAGGGGTCGAGGCCAAGGAATCTGAAGACAGGGTCTACAGCTGGTCCTGCCTCCCAGCTGGCCCAGGGGACACACATAACTCCTGAAGAAAGAACATGGCAACAAGAGGGATCATTTCTCTTCTGAGGGGGAACAGACGCCAAGCGGCCCTCAGGGTGACTGCGAGCCAGTTGCTGCGGTGCCTCCTCCCAGGGTCGTCAGGCAGATGCTCCGGCTCCCAGGCAGGCAGGGGCTGTCCCCTGTTCTGGGTAGCCCCAGCTCCCAGCACACAGTAAATGCTCACTGAAAGACTGTCTGGGAAGAGCTCTGGGATGTGTCCAGGAACAGGGGGCCGGCTAAACCAACAGCAGGACCCCAGTATGGGGTGTCAAGAAGCTCCCCGCTTCCCTCTCCTTCTTTCCTGCCATCTCCTTCCTGCCAAGATAACTGAGACTCCTCAACATCCGGGAGCAAGTCCTGGCCTAGTTGCAGATGCCTCTGGGGATCTGGGTCACATCCCTGATCCGCTGTCATTGCAGCTGCAGTGGACATTCCGGGTACGCTCAGACTCATGTCTTGCTGACAGCACCCCACTCTCAGTGCCCCCCACACACTCTGAGACACTCATACCTGGGATCTTTCTCCAATGTGCAAACGAAGCCTGAAATGGTACCAGGGGCGGGGGGTGGTTAGCATTCCTGGAGGCCACCCTCAGCCAACAGAGGACAGGCCTGTAGGTAAATGCACCACCTCCCGCCTTTAGGAGTTTGAGCCTCCTGCTGCTCCTTTCCCTTGGCAGATGCCGGCAGATCCCAGTCCCCCCATGAGACCTCCGTAGTGTACCCTGAAATTAGACTTCTTTCTTCCTGAGTTCTGGACTCATGGATTACCCCACAAACAGACCACCTGCACCAAGTTGGTGAATTCCTCTCCAAGCAGGGGAGAGGTGGGCAGTGGGGACAGGGACAGCTTGCACATATACCAAGATCCCGCTGGAAGTGCCAGCTGAGGCCCTTCTCGGTATCCAGGGAGCCAAGGCAAACCTGGCAGGCGCCAGCCCCACCCTGAGGGTCATCGGCTCCTCAGAGGCTCACTATTCTGTGCCGTGGTACAAAAACAATGTGAACTGTGCTTTCCATTGGTCTGAGTCCATAAAACTTCCTACAGCTCAGAGGGGAAGGGAGCAGGGAGGGCGAAGGTCGAGTCAGGGAGAGAAAGACTTGCCCGCGGGATCTCTGGGGGTTAAAGGCTTTTGAAATTCTGGCTGGAGATGGGCAGACATAACATCTGGTCTGCAGTAGGATACAGCCAAACGAGAACCCCGCTCTCCCCTCCCTGCATTTGAGGCTGCGCATCCCCATCCTGGCCCTCCCTCTCTTCCTATCCTTTTTTTGGCTGCAACTATGCCTGCCCATAGTAGGTCCTCGAAACAGTGTTCCCCAAACAAAGAGGTACAGGGCCGGCAGTCATGGGTCTGGCTGTGTGATGAGCTGTTTACAGCAGACACACACTCTACTGATCAGTGTCGTTTCCACGGTGTGTTATGTCTTGACTATCACCCAGAAGAATACGTGCATGCATTAGTGAACGCATACGTGATGAAGCCCAGCTCTCCGGCTCATGCCGGCCCTCACTGACCTCCTCCAGCCCCCCACCCACGACCTGCCCTCTCACCTCCCACTCAGCCAGTGCTTTCCCAGCTCAAGACCTGCCCTCCAGCTACTCTGAAGGAAAAGCATAAGTGGACATTCTTATCCTTCAAAAGGACGACTAGAGGAAGGAGAAGGGAAGAACAGGGCAGTGAGGTGCACTGGTGAGAGCATTTGTGTTAGGTAAACGTGATGACACCAGGCTCTGTCCCTTGCTGGCTATGTGACTTAAGGCAAGTGGCTTCCACTCTCTGTGCCTTTGTGTCTCTATCTCTAAATGACACCTGCTGGAACAGGACTTGGGGGAAGGCTGAATGAGAGCAGCCATGGAGCCTCCAGGTGAGGTTCACAGTAGCCCTCAGAACAGCACAGATATCAGCTTTCTCAAGCACCCACCATGCGCCAGGGGCAGTGCTAAACCCTGTACCTCTGAAGCCACTATCATCTGAGCACCTGCCACTTGCCAGAGGACATCAGCATCCTTTTCTTATGTAATACCCACAATGAGCCCCTGAGGTACATTTTATTTTTCCATTGTTGCAGACAAAAAACAAACAAACAAACAAACAAAAACCTCGAGCCTAAGAGAGGTTAAGTAACTTGCCTAAGATCACACAGCCACATAGCCGGGAAGTTAGATCTTTAACGACCTAGCCTTATCTGGCTTCTAAGGGGTATCATCCTGTCTGCATGCTGTCACCAAGTGCTGGTACCACTCCACTAAAATAATAACAGCAACAATATAGTTAACATTTATTTAGTACTTATGACGTATTATCTCACTGACTCCTCCAAATAACCCTACAAGAAAGGTACTTTTATTACCACCATTGTGCCAATAAGGAATCATAAACACAGAGAGGCTAAGTAATCTGACTGAAGTCACACAACTGGCAAGTGGCAGCTACCTAAACTCAGGCAGCCTGGCTCCACAGCCTGTCCACTTATAAAACCTCAAAATGAGTATCTTAATTCTCTGGAGTTTTAAGTCCATCCTTTGGTGCTGAGGCTGTTTCAAAGGACTGTGGCTCGAAGCCCCAGCAGGCAGGACTGAGCAGGAAGCTACATTTTTAAGACACTCTCAAATCAATACCACTTGTTTGGGTAGAAACAGGAGCAGATGGGCAGCACTGGGCCTCAGATGCTGGGGTTGAGAGGCTGGGCCCTGACTGCCTTTCCCGCCCCCTGGCCCCTGCCCGGGGGCAGACCCTACAATGTCCCTGAAGGCTAAGTTTGCCTAAAAAGTGGGCTATTTAGACCTAAGGACTCAGATCCCAACTCTAATCCTGAAATATCACAAAATAAACAAAGAAGAAATCGTAGTAGGCTCATTATGGGCTGTCCAGGCAGCCTGACCTTGCCTGCTGCATACTAAGCTCCCTTCGCTTGCCCCAAATCTTCCACACAACCACTAGACAATCATGGTGCCAGCAGGAAAAGATCAGCAGAAACCCAGCCTGTTCCAACAGAGGCAGGAGGCAGCCAGGATCCCAGGGGGTTGTGGCTCAGTAAGCTTCAAGCCAAGGAAAATGCCGGCTTCCTCATAGGTACCACAAAAGCCCTTAGGGTAGGAAGGGCACATGATGCAGGATGACCTGTCCAGAGAGAGGTACAGAGTGTCTTTTCCCCATGAGGACTGAGGCCAAATGACCATGTCCTGAGAAGGATGGGGGAAGGGTCCACACTCAAAGGCTCCAAAAAATCTACCCTAATTTTTTATATCTTTAACCTCGAAAAGGTCTGTACAAGCTTCCCCATGCATTTTGAAAGGGTGCCCACTCTTCCTCCTAAAATTAGCACAGCCCCTTTGGAATAAATGCCTGGATGATTTTCTTGAGGGAAAAAAGAAATGTTTCATAATGAGTTCCCAAAGGACAGCCTTGCTCGGGGCTGGTGGCGGGTTGGGGGGTAGTTCTGCCCGGATAGGAAACCCATTCATCTGCCCTATATCTGGTGATGGGCCACCTTGTGCAGGCACATGGGATGGTCCTTGACCAGGGGTACTACTGATGTCAGGGCACAAGGCGACACGAAAGCGTTAGCTGAGTCCAGGGGAAGGAGGGGAGCGTGTCCTGGGATGAAGACTGGATGAAGGGAGTGATGACGAGAAAGTGCTCCCGGCGAGGGAAGGTGCGATGGCTGTCACACATGCAGCGCCTTCGGAGGACAACCAGCAGACCTGTCTGGCCAAAGGGGAGGGAGGGAAACAAGTCATCGGGACAGACAGGGCTCCTGCTAGAAGCTCGGATGCCAGGGAAGAAGTATCTGGGCTCCGTCCCGGGCACAGAGGGCCCTGGAGGCTCCTGAGAAGGAGGATGGCTGGGAGAAAGCGAAGATTTAAGAAGCATAAGATGATGACAGGATTCAGAATGGGCTGAAAGAGGACAAGATGGGAGGCAAAACCCCCTCGGGGCTGAGGCTGTCCCACTAATCACAGCGAGACTGGAACAGGTTGGGACGAGGAGGAGGAAAACACTGGGGTCGTGGTAGCTGTGGGGTGTAAACGAGGACGGAGTGCTGGCTGAGAGCACAGGTCCTGGAGTCAGCTGGACTCAGGTTCGAATATGGCTCTGCCACTGCCAGCTGTGTGACCTTGGGACTCAGCTTCCTCATCTCTAAAATGAGACCTTTTCTAGGACTGGGGGAATGGGAAATGGCACGGACAGGAACAGAGATGCAGGAATGAAGGCAGGGCAGGAGATCTGGACGGGGAAGAGCCGGTCACCCTTTCTGTTCCTAAGATTTAGTGGGGACCCTGTCCCTTCTCTCCGTTCTCCTTTCCGATAAACATCTCATCTCATAGACTCAGCCCTGCTCGCTTCTCAGACATAGGAGGTAAGTTAAAGGGCTGGATGGATGAAGACCAAGCTGGCACTGTCACAATAGTAACACCATAGCCCCATGTGTGAGGTCTGTGCTCAGTCGTCACAGGAACCATGAGAGGATGAGCTCCTCAAAGTGGAAACTGAGGCTCAGACTGGCTGATGTCCAGGGCACACAGCTAGGAGGTGGCAGAGCTGAGACTGAAGCCACCAGAGCCCAGCCCTGAGACCACCCCAGTCTATCTTCCAGAGGGCCTGGTGGGAAGAGTCAGGGCAGGTACGTGGGCTGAGCTCCAGAGGTGGCACAAGGAGCTGGCAACAAAGCAGCCTCTGGGTGCTGTTTTGGTGGAGAGTCAAGAACAGAGGAAGGGGACCCGCTGTTGCCTGGGGACCTCAGGCCTGCCATACACTCAGTGACTGGGGACAAAACAGATGGCACCTTTGGCCTCCAACCCTGGGTGGGAGTGGCAGCTCTCACCATGTACTCCATGTTGGAGGCTGGGGGGTACACCTGGCCCCGCAGTTTATTGTGAAGCATGAGGATCTCTTCCTTGTCCGACTTGGGGATGGCCCTCCGGGCCCGCGAGTGAGGCTCGTCTTGCTGGTATTTGCTGAGCAGCTTCTCAAAGTGTGTGACGTTGGGCAGAATAAGAAAAAGGCTTTGGGCTCCACAGGCCAGCAGCACCAGTCCCAGGGGGATGATGCCGTTCAGGATGCAGCTCATGGCTCCTCTCCAGTAGCAAAAACTGGGGTGACAGGGAAGGCTGGTCTCCTGAGGCACAGCTGGGTGCTCAAGAGCTCTGAAAGGAAGCAGAGGGCAAAGGAGGAAGAAATAGTCAGTATTAAATCAGCGACAGCATTGGCTTGAGCAGTGAACAAAGCAGGTAGGATTCTCCCCACTTTGCAGATGTGAAAACTGAGGTTCACAGGAGCTAAATAACCAAGGACCCACAGACAGGAAGTGGTGGAGCTAGGATTCAAGTGAAGGGTTTCCAGAAAGGTAAGCTGCCCAGACTTCACGGAGGACATCCTGGCGCAATCTCTCCTGGACTCAAGTTCCCTTGTCACCATCTTTTCTAATTTCTAGTCAGCGTTCCGCCTCATTCAGGACTCAGGTGGGTCTACTGCCTGAGCTCAGTTCCATCTCCTGCTCCTGAAAGAGATTGATAAAGCCATTTCACACCACCAAAGGACTTCCCCTGAACCACTGTTAGCAGCAGACTCCGTGGTCCCTCTGAAATAAGGCTCGGTCTACCAAAAGTGGTTGACAGGCATCCCCAGGCCTATCATTGTCAGCTCTTGTCATCATGGCCCGTCCACTGGCACCACCCACATAATCATCACACACTGCGACACAGTCACCCAGCCCCAGCCAGGGACCCAGATGTGTGCTCTGCTGAGAAACAAGTCACTTGTCAATCTGATTCTTAGAGGAAGTGATGGTGGAGAGAAGAAGGACCTCCAAGGGGGGGGGGTGTCTGTGTACCCCACTCTCATCACCAAACCTGCCTGGCAAATCTGCTAAACAACAAAGCATGTGGCCCTCCGCCAGCCAGCTTCTGCCTGACAAGGAGCCTGTTACAGACACTGCCACTGCCGGTGTTACTCTTTTTGCTGCTAAGTTAGTACCCAACGAACACAGTAGGATGGTTACCTGTTGCTGGTTGATATAACCAACAGCAGAGCCCAGGGGACAGAAGAAGAGGGTGGACCGAGGTTCCTAGAACTTTGCGGCCCCATGTTGGAACTGCACTTCTCAGAAAGAGTTCCTGGAACCCTAACGCTAACACATCAGCTGCGATTCAGCCCTCTCAGGGGTCTACGGTGCCAACTGTAGTTACGAAAGCATCTTCACTTTTACTACTCATGGATCTCAATGGTCTTTCCTTGCCTGTAGGGCTACAAGCCCTTTTCCCAGATAATTCTCTTACTAAGCTGCCTTCCCTGGCACGCACCTTAGGAAGAGCTGTGTTAGTCTTAGAGTACACCTAACGAACTTTAAAATTCCAAGGTCCAGTGTTATTGGGTGAATTTCTGCTGTGCCGTTTGTTCCTTCTGGAAACCCTTCCTGAACATGTGTGTGGGCCAGCCACTTCATTCACGTTGTTGTCAACCCTAGGACACAACCCACTCCCATCTCACAGATGAGGAGGCTGAGGCCTAGAGTGGTGGCGTGACGAGCCCAAGGCCACCCTACTGGAAGTGGAGACGCTGAGATTCGAACCCCAGTGTGATGACTCTGAGAGTTCAGAATTTTCCATCATGCTGCCCTGGCTCCTCTCTCCCTGGAGGCCAGGGGTGTCACCTCCACTAAAGGGCTACGAACTGTGGTCCTTCTCTGGGCTGTCGCCTGGTCGAAGAAGACAAGGCAAAGCTTGAGCGAGTGTTCATTTACATCTTTCAACTCTGCTTTACTCTCAAAGGAGAGTCGGTCAGTCACCCAATGACCTTCACCGGACATCTATTTTGTGCTGGAACCTCGGACATGAAGATGAAGAGGACTCTCTCCCTGGCCTTCAGGAGCTCCCCAGTTGGGCTGGGGTGACAGGCGAGGAAAGCCACAGCCACAGGCCAACAGACTTAAGCCAGCACAGGGAGCTGGAGGACACTCCCTGGCTGGGGACAGAGGCAGCCTTGCCTGGACGCTGAGCCACCGGAACCTCCAGAGTCTCAGTCCTTTCAACAAGGCTCCTCTGGTCTTCGCCCACACTAACGATAACCAGGCGCTTACCAGTAGCCTGGCGGGGACTGAAAGATGGCAGCAGACAACCTCAGGGGCAAGACGCAGAGTGCGACAGGGAGGGGACAAGCCAGGAATCCCAGGAGGCAGAGCGGAGTAGTAGAGCTATGGGAACGTGGCAGTTCCCATCTACAGCCCTGGAAACTCTCCGGAGTCCTGACCAAGTCTACGCTGCCGATAAAAATAACCGCCATCCAGAGAGGAGGCCTGGCTCTCTTTGCCGTGGGCCACATGTGGCCTCTCTCCTAAGGAGTTCCCTTTGGGGCACAGCCCCAGGGACAGCAAGGAGGACTTCTGCGTGCTCACCCGTCTCCCTGGGAATCAAACCAGTAACGCGGAATTAGTCACGCCACCATATATGAACATTTCCCAGCTGCAGAAGGCCAGGCCATAAGAGATGCCAAAACACACTGACGCTGGACTGAGATGTGAGACGAAGCAAGAACGGGGGCTGACATCATTAAGTGTCCACTCTGGTGTCATGACTATACTCGATTTTCTTTACTCTACACTTACGTAGCTTGAGGGACTGGGCACCCCCCAAAATACAAAAAGTTAATTGCTAATATGACTCAACTATGACTCATCTAGACTAAAACCTGGATTTGGTTGAAGTTTCCAATGGGCACGATTCAATTGTGGAGTAGTCAGGGGTGGGATATTATACAGCAGGTGAAAGGAATAAACTAGAGGTATGTGAGTGTCAGCACAAATAAAATTCAAATAGCATGTTGGGTTAAAAAAGCAAGTTGTAGACTGTTATGCTAATTATACTATTTATGTAAATTCTAAAACATATGAATCATATTTTTGGATATACATGTATATGTCTATTACATGTCTATATATAATATAGACATATAAGTATATATACACATATATACACATGTCTGTATGTTTGTGTACATATATGTACATGGGGGGTGTGTTTGTATGGTAAAACCAGGACTGAATCAGACCAAGTTCATGGTGGTGGTTGACTCCAGGGTGAAGGTAATGGAACTGGGAAGAGGAATGCGAGGGATTTCATCTTTAATACGTTATTTCTACTTTAAAATCGGAAGTGCCAACCTCTGTTCACTTTAAGTGAACAGGCTGAAATGGCAGGAACTTCGAGGCGATAACCACCAGGCCAGACCTCGGTGGTAAGCATACTACCCTCTGGACTTATCTATTTTTTAAAAAATATGTATTAATTAATAACACAAAGCAAAATGCCAAAGCGTGGAAGGGCGATGAAACAACGGTGGTCCCAAGCGCATCCTTCCGGCACGCGTCCCTGAACGACCGTGGCTCCCTCCGAAAGACTCAACGAGCCACCTCACGCGAGCGGGAAAGGGCCGGCGGCACTCCGGGACCTGTAGGCTGGTCCTTCCCTCCAAGGTTGCAAAGAGAACCAATAAAGAAGCCTCGGTGGCGCCTCAGAGTCGGGAGGACCATGCGGGTTTCTGGAACCTTCTCGCCGGAAGGAAACTAAGTGAAAGGAGAGCAGAGGAAGGGGATCTCGAAGGGCCTTCTCTGCTCTGCGCCGGGCACTGGCCATCTGCGGCACCATGCTGGGCGGCATGTCTAGCACACTGGTGGGGCTGAAGGTGGTTTGGGCCAGGAGCTCAGGGCGTCTGGATGGGCAAGGCCCAGCTCTTGAGGCTCCTGCTAAGTTTGGGCTGCAAGAGAACACTGAAGATTTAAGCAGAACTGTGGCCTAACAGGGCTGGCGTCTCACACAGGCCTGCATTCCCAGGGGCAGACCAGTGCTGACACAAGGGGTTCTTGTGGGTCAGGTTGTGTGCCCCACAGATTCACATGTTGAAGCCCCTAGCACCTCAGAGTGTGACTGTATTTGGAGAATGGGCCTTTATACACGTGCTAAAGTTAAATTAAATCATCAGAGTGGGCCCTAATCCAATATAACTGGTGTACTTACGCAAAAAGATTGGGACACAGACATGCATGAGGGAAGACCATGCGAAGACACAGGGAGAAGATGGCTGTCTCCATGCCATGCCAAGGAGAGAGTCCTTAGAAGAAACCAGCCCTGCCGACACCTTGATCTCAGGCTTCCAGCCTCCAGAACTGTGAGGCAATAGTCTGTTCTTTAAGCCACTCAGTCTGTGGTCCCTGGTTGTGGCAGCCCGAGAAAACTGATACGTGCATCAGATAAGTGGATTAACAGGATCGTGATCCAAATATCCTGTTGGTTACTATACAGAAGAAGGCAAGAAGGGAACAGAGGCAAATTAGGAGGCTGAGGCAAGGATCCAGCCAGAACCTGGCAGTGACAGTTGGTGCTAACTGTGAAAGCAACAAGCCCACTGGCGGAGGCCCACTTCACGTTCAATGCCTACACCCTTGGCCTGTGCTGACCACTCAGCCTCTGCCCAAACATCTCTATCAGAACTCAGGGCTAAAGCATGTCAGTCCCTTTTCCACTTACAATTGAAAATAATTCTTTTTTCCAAATGAGACAATGACAAGCACATACTCCCCGCAGGGAGGCTGGCGGAGGCTTACACCGAGGGAGAGCGCTGTGCGCCAGTTGCTGCATTTCTCAGCTCACCTACCAGGGACCCAGAGGTTTGGGTTCCACTACCCCATTTTACGGAGGAGGAGACTGAGGCCCCTGGAGCTTAAGGAACCCACCTAAGGTCATACGACTGGCCAGTAGAAAACCCAGGGTTGGAACACAGCTCCTTCTGACCTCAGAGCGCTTTCTGGCTGCCAGGAGTGGGCTTCCTTGTGGATTTCCCGTCACCACCCATACAGGGGAGGGGCCCCCACCAATCACCTTATCTCCCTCTACAGTCCTGTCACCTTTCTCTTTCTCCTGGGCAGAACTGCTGGGCTCGGCAGAGCTGAGGTAACAGACTCCCAGGTCAGACAGTGGCTGTTGATGAGAAGGCACCAATGCGTCACCCCCAGGGCAATGAAACCTTTACATCATGGTGACATTTCACCAAAGCACGACGCCGTTATCGGGCTTGGCACCCCTTCGACCTCCATCTGCCAGTGTGCCTTTGGCTCAAATGTGACCAGCTTGACCTCTGACCCCTAGCACGGATG